AAAAAAAAAAACAAAATTGGTACTCTGAAAATGCTACTTTCAAAAGCATTTTGGAGCCTGAATTTGTTTTTTTTTGCCACGCCTTACAGGAATGTGATTTCATGATGAATTTTTGCAAGCACTTAGAACTTTTGTCAATGTTTCTCCCAAAAAAAATTTGGATTTTTTTGAATTTTTTTCGATTTTACTGTTCACCGAGCTCAAATGAGCTCGGGAGCATAAAGGCACTTTCGTGGTCAACATATTGTTTTTATGCTATGTAGAGTAAAAAATGACATCTGGTTTGGACTAAAGGAAGTATATCTGTTAATAAGATGATGCACAGCCCCATTGTTTTTATGCTATGTAGAAGTTAATGGTGTGCCTCAAATTACGTGTTGTTATCTGTTTCTAATGTTGGTTTTCTCTAATAATTCCGAGGTGATTTCACCTTGGATTTGCTTTTTCAACAAATCGTGTGTTTTTTCAGAGATCATGTCTGATTTTTTTATTTTTTTTTGAGAAATCACACCAGAGCTTTTCACACAATTTCCAAGATGGTTTAGCTAGTGTTTACTGTCTGAGCCATACAAAATCTTCAGATTTAAATTCAACAATTTTCCATGAATGCCTTGTACAAATTGATTTGACTGACACTTTGATTACCCTGCAGGTATCCAGAGTGAGCTACCCTGTTGCACCGGCAACAGGGTCAAGTTGGTTTCTACTGATAGTTTAGCACTTGGATCAAGCATGTACAATGAGTGCATCAGGCTAAACTAGCAATGGTGCAACAGGGTAGATGCAGATGCAGCTCCGCCCCTGCAGAGTTACATCTGGTGGCGAGATGCAGAAGTGGTTTGTTTGCTTGCTTCCGTTAGTTCGTACCTTTCAATTGATGTTGCTTGCTTGCATTTCTGTATGTGTTCATATTTTCACCGTTTTCTTTGTGTTCCGTGCTGTACTAAGTGGGCAGTATTCCGCGTGAGATTTCTACCTTCCCATTCTGTGTGTTTGTTCTTGGTGAATATTTATATTGTTCTCACTGATGAATTTAGAATTATTTTGATTTCGTTGAGATTCTTTTACATGTTAAGCTCTTATGTCACTTATTCCTCGCAAAAAGAAGATAAAACAGTTTGCCCTTGTCATCTGAACAGAGGAAGGAAAAATCATAGCCGAGTCAAACAAACAGGGATTTGTCACACTTTATTTTAAGATTAACAAATTCTCTCACAAGTGATGCACAAAGAGAAACACATTTTATTGACTGGTGCAGAAATCAGAGCCATTTTATGGACTGATTGTGAATTTGTGATCCCATGACCGACCGGCCCTTGGCTCTTCAAGGTTAGTTGGCGCCCAAGCACCAATGCTTACAAACCTCAGCATCTGCAGAAAGGGCCAAGATCATCAGAACAGACGATTCCGTTTCCCTCTGTGAAATGAACACATATTCTATGAATGTAAGTCGGACAAGGTGGTTCTCGTGTCTTACTGGCCAATGGCGCCGGCAGGTCACAGATGGAGTCCGAGTTGCAGGCGTCGAAGCAGACGAGTATCCCATTGAAGGTGTGGCCGGGGCCGCTCAAGGGGCAGCCAGTGGCGCACTTGACCTTGCAGAGCCACGGCGGGGTGCTGTCCTTGCACCCGGGGTAGCACTGCCGATAGCACTCGCAGTCGACGTCGGACAGCGGCCCCTGCTTGGATGTCTTCTGGTGGGATGGCTTTGGCAGCATGAGGAGGAGGAGCAAGCACATGGCAGCAACGGCGGCCGCTTTCTTCTTGGCCTCCATCTCCTGGCCTCACAATCGTACTGGATAAGTGAACTACTCCTGTGGTGAGTGGTGGGCCGGTGGCTCTGCCATTCAGCTAGAGTGAGGGTCCTTATATATTGGAGTTCCAAGGGCAATATCGACATTTGACCCAGATAATTTGTAAAGGAGCCAATAGTATTTCACTATTTTCCTGCAAATCAAATCAGATAATTTGTAAAGGAGCCAATAGTATTTGGAGTGTCTTGTAGCCAATTTTGCCATGGTACTCCTTTTCTGACAGAAATGGGACTTTGCATATATACAGTCACTTATATTAGTCCCCGGCCTAGTGGTAGTGCTGCACCTGAAAATAAGCATGGATCTTAAACTGGTTAGACAAGGCACATTCTGCTCACCTTAAAACCGCGCGTGTTGATATAGAAAGAAAACAGAATGCAGTTCTGAACTTCTAATACAACGTTGTTTATATATGGGATGGCATACCAGCGTGCAAGCTGTTTAATCACCTCTGTTTAACTATACAGCTGCATGCAGGGAGGTCAATCAAAGTTCTTTAGCATGGCAAGTTACAAGCTTCCCAATGTAATTCCAATGGAATATATAGTTCGTGCCAGGAACTATAATTTTTATTATAGTTCCAACGGAATATATGAT